AAAACTATTAAAATGAGTCTCACCAATCTCTTAAACAATATCAAAATGCAACATTTTTATCAAAACTCTCCGTTTTAATTTAGGCATGTTTTCTCAAAAAAAATCCCTAATCGCTCCTGGCAACTTCTTTTTAAACAAAATCATAAAATAGATGTTCTTGCTATATATATATTAATTACCTTGGCAAGAACATCTATATATATATTAAAATAAATTTTTATTATAAAAAATTTAGATTTTTAGATTTATAAATAAAATCCATAAAATTTTATAGACTTCATTTATTCCAAACAAGGAGTAAGGAAACACATCTATAAAGTCTTGAGATTTCTTCAAAAAGGGACGATCTTCAATTTTTCCATGATGCGGAGCAACTTGCGGTTCAAAATATGGAAGGTTTGGACCACTGCAACACTAAGAAGAAGAGGCACGGCTGTGTCACGTCCAGCACGCCCGTGCTAGCCTCTGGAAGCTCATGACATGCCCGTGTTCATCCTTAGAAGTCCAGGATGCGAGACACAGTCAAGACCAAGGAGAAGAGGCATGGCTGTATCACTTCCAACATGCCCGTGCTAGCCTTTGGAAGTCCAGGACATACCCGTGCCATGACAAGCATGCCCGTGCCGACGGGACCAGTTACGTTTTGTGTTTTATTTTTTTTAGGGTTTTATGTTTTTAGCCTAAACCTATAAATATGTAATTTTGTTATTATGAGGACATTCATTATTTTGTGATCATAACTGATATTCAATAAACTTCTTTGAAAGTTTAGTTCTCTTTTATATTCGTCAGACCAAACGATATTGATCAAAACTTCTGACGGAGTATAATCGTCCAATTTATTGGTCAGATCAAACGATATTGATCAAAACTTCTGATGAAGTATAATTGTCTACCCATTCACGTTATCGTTCTGCATCAGTTAGTATCAGAGCCGAAAGGCAAAGTTTCTCCATGGCTGAAAATCATGAATCCCGATTTACAGCCATAGAGGCGAAGTTTGAAGATTTAGCACAACAGATTAGGCAGCTGAATCTTGCAATACAATGAGGTAACCCATAACCTGCAATTGCAGCAGCAGATCTGAATCTACAGCAACTAAATCCTGTCGCTCACTATCATGGAAATCGAGCAGAGTTTAATGCCCCACCAGATTATGAGAGGCACCAAAATCAAGGACCCATGGCTGGTTCAGAAAATGGAGTTACGTATATTGTTAAGAAAATTTTGTACTCTCCAAAACAGGAAGGCGACACTCAACGAAGGAAAATTTTCCAGGCTAAATGTCGTGTTAGTAAAGCAGTGTGCTGACTCATTATCGACAATTGTAGCTGTGAAAATTTGATAGCCAAACAGCTTGTTAAGAAGCTGAATTTGCCCACAGAACCGCATCCTTCACCGTACAAGGGTGGATTAAGGAGGGTCCGACGATTGAAGTCAATCGGATTTGCAAAGTTCCTATCTCAATGGGTAAATCATACACAGATTCTATTAGTTGTGATATTGTGGATATGGATGCTTGTGGAGTACTGTTAGGTTGTCCATGATAGTTTGATGTAGATGCATTGCATAAGGGGAGAGAGAATTCATACTTGTTCACTTGGAAAAACAAGAAAATCACTGTTCTACCTTCTGAATTTTCTACCAAAGCTTCTAAAGTGGAGGAGAAATCCATAGTAGCTGTTTCTTCCAATGTACAAGAATTATCTGGTAGGATCGAGAAGTCCGGAGGAGTGTTAGCCTTGTTGATCAACCCAGAGATAGATTCTGATGAAAGGGCACTGGTACCACCACTTGAAAAGGAGTTGTTAGATGAGTTCCATGCCATAGTTGAAGAACCATCTACACTTCCACCTTTGCTGGACATCTAGCATTAAATTGATTTCATCCCTGGATCAAAGAGACCGAACCTGCCTCATTACAAGATGAATCTAAAGGAGAGCCAAATTCTTCAGGAACAAGTGGAAGAATTATTGAAGAAGGGACATATTAGAGAGAACATTAGTCCATGTGGAGTTCCTACTTTATTGGTACCGAAAAAAGATGGGATTTGGAGAACGGTGCAGTATCAATTTCCTAATCCTCATCTGGAAGACATGTTGGACCAACTGTCAAGATCTACAGTGATCTCTAAAAGAGATCTTCGTAGCAGGTATCATCAAATCCGGATCAAGGTTAGAGATGAATGGAAGACCGCATTCAAGATTAAGGAAGGATTATTCTCCAAGATGGCATATCTTATTCCTTGTAGGTAAACTAGTGATGCCTCACACATTGCCAAATTATTTTTTTAGGAGATTGTTCTTCTGCAAGGCAATCCCAAAACCATCACATCTGACCGAGACACGAAGTTTCTGGCTAATTTTTGGACAACTTTGCAGTAGAGATTTAACACACAACTTCAGAAGAATGTGAGCAAGACGCATGCACGTTGGGCAGCTTATTTATTCCCATTTTACCTCGATGATAATCACTCGAGGTCGAGTTCTTTTCAAGTGGAGGGGAATGATGCGGAGCAACTTGCGATTTAGAATATGTAAGGTTTGGACCACTGCAAGACTAAGAAGAAGAGGCATGACCGTGTCACGTCCAACACACCCGTGCTAGCCTCTAGAAGTCTAGGACACGCCGTGCCATGACAAGCACGCCTGTGCTAGCCTCTAGAAGTCTAGGACACGCCGTGCCATGACAAGCACGCCTGTGCTAGCCTCTAGAAGTCTAGGACACGCCGTGCCATGACAAGCACGCCTGTGCTAGCCTCTAGAAGTCTAGGACACGCCAAGTCTAGGACACGCCGTGCCATGACAAGCACGCCTGTGCTAGCCTCTAGAAGTCTAGGACACGCCGTGCCATGACAAGCATGCCCGTGCTCGCCTCTAGAAGTCCAGGACATGCCCGTGACATGACAAGCACGCCCGTGTTCATCTCTGGAAGTCCAAGACGCGAGACACACTCAACACTAAGGAGAAGAGGCACGGCCGTGTCACTTCCAACACGCTCGTGCTAGCCTCTGGAAGTCCAGGACACGCCCGTGCCATGATAAGCATGCCTGTGCCGACGGGATCAGTTACGTTATGCATTTTATTTTTTTAGGGTTTTATGTTTTTAGCCTAAACCTATGAATAGGTTATTTTGTTATTATGGGGACATTCATTATTTTGTGATTATAGCTGATATTCAATAAACTTCTTTGAAAGTTTAGTTCTCTTTTATATTCGTCAAATCAAATGATATTGATCGAAACTCTTGATGCAATATAATCGTCCAGTTTATTTATCAGATCAAACGATATTGATCAAAACTCTTGATGGAGTATAATTGTCTATCCATTCACACGAGCGTGCTGGACATGATATGACCGTGCCTCTTCTTCTTAGTCTTGTAGTGGTCCAAACCTTCCATATTCTGAACCGCAAGTTGCTCCGTATCATTCCACTACCTTATTTATTTCTCCAATCCTAAGAATTTTTGGGACTATCAATATGTATTATTATAATATTTAAATATATTGTTACTTATAATAGTTACATATTATTATTTATATTTTTTATTTAATTTCTTAATTATTAATTCTTACTTTTTAATTTCATAGTGTTTGTATTATTATTTTTTAATGGCAAGCATTTTTGTTTTTAAACTCAAATGATGAAATTTCAAAATTCTAAATTGGAATAAAAAAGACACCTCCCAAATTACAGTGAAATTAACGCATGCCTCCTTCTATATTTAAGTAATAACTCAAGTTTTCCTAAATTTTTATTCTGTCAACAATCAACTCCTTTTGTCCAAATTTACCCTAAATTCCGTTAGATGGCAAATGAAATGACCATATTAACCTTGATAATTTACCAAGTCCACAATTAATTACTTCTCCTCCTCCACCTCTGTCCTTTGAAATCCACCCTGTTTCACCCTTCTCTTTCTCATGGCAGAGATGTCGTTATTGCTAACCGGAATTTGATCAAGCACTATCTCCCTCAAGCCTCAAACCTCCATACACCGAAATCAAAAGCACAACAATAGCTATTCCCTGCAAATTTTCAAGAACCATATTTTCAGAAAATCAAAAGCGCAACAATAAAAAAAAAAATTAAACCTTGTTTTGGTCCCATAAATCCTTCATCAAGATGGGTTAACCAGTGGTGGCAGTGAATAAACACCTAGAATCTCATTACTCCTTCCATTATTTCTAGAAAATATGGGTTGTTGAGCAAAGAAGAAGTTGAGGAGACAAAGAAAGAGAAAGATGAGCAACTTTTTTTGTTGGTTAAGCTCAGTCATAGATTAAAATGGAGTTGATCCTTTAGGCAATGATTGTTATGGTGGATGAGGCGCTGGTGGCAGTGGTGGTGTGGGTTTGGTTAGATATTAGGGTTTAGGGTAGATAATGTTTTTTTATTTTTTATTTCTCTTTTCTTTGACCTTAATCCATAAGTAAGACTAATGGAATTTAGGATAAATTTGAACGGAGGGAGGTAATTATTGACAGAATAAAAATTTAGAGAGACTTGAATTAGTGTCTCAACATAGAAGGAGACATAATTTCACTATAATTTAGAAACTATATTTTTATTTTTTCCTTGTAAATTAAAACTCTTCATAAATAATCACATGTGTCCTCCTAAGTATCCGTGGAAAAGCAAGCATTTCTCATTGCCCAAGTCTTCTTTTATACACAACTTGGCTCGTTACTCATGATACGGGTGCCTTATTTGTACCCTCATTATCACAAATAATTACATATGTTGCTTTTGCTTGGTTAACTCGAAGCAAAAAAGGAGAAGAGCCCACTAATTTCAAAGAAGCCACATGTTTTGTGGAGGAGCCAAGGGAAATGATTACTATTTCCCTCTTCCGCTCCTTCCTTTTCACCCGGTCTTTTACCCGCCAAATGCAATACGGGTAAATAAGTAAATATCAATCTGGAGATTCTGCCTTGATCCAAATATTTTTATTATTTATTTAAATAATAAGGACTCAAATGTAAAATTTAAAAAATGAAGAGTATTTTAGTAATTCAATTTATATAATAATCAACGTTTTTGTGTCCGCTGTTGTGTTTGTCTGGCTTTCACCTAACCGGAAAAGATCGCAAAAGGTCTGTAGATTCCATGGCTTTACTGTGTGCAATAATTTGAGACCTGTATCGAAATTTTTGGTTCGTATCAAAATTTCTCCCATTCTTTATAGCATTTTCAATTATCAGATGGAAAAAAACCCCTAATTTCATTTTACTTCTATGTAATTTCTTGGCATTGCATTGATAATTGAGTAAAAATGATCTTTCTTGAGCGAAATTTTCAATTTAACACTAAGATTCGACGGGTTTTAATGATATTGATGGATGATTATTGTTTATTTGAGCTTAGATCTGCTTATTTCACGTTGAAACCTCACTTTTGTTTTTTAAATTTTTTTCTTGATTTTTGCTGCTGAATTTAATTTCTCGTTTCATGTTATCTAGATAGCTTTTCATGTGTATTTATTTAGTCTCATCTCCTTTCAGGTGTTCTATATGAGGATTGGTTAACTACGTGATGGCAGACTTACCAGGTCATGTTCGTGCCTGTTTGCATACCGGGAAACTTGCTTGCTTGGCAATCTTGGTTTCTGGTGGAATTGTATTACAAATTTTGGTATGTAGTGTTTTCTATTGCTTACCTTTAAATTTTTCACCTTGAGCAGTCTAATGTATGTTCTGTGCTCATATCAGTTATAATTTCTCACTTGAATGTTCGATTTGACAGGCATGTGCATTGTACAATAATTGGTGGCCTATGCTAAGTGGTAAGTTACCCTTGCTTCTAATACAGCATTCATTGGATTCTCTCCCCCTCTTGGTACTATCTTCTTCTTCACTTTATTTTATAAGTTTGAATGTGTAGAATTCTGATGTTTGTTGTCTGACTTGATATGTGGTGGCTGCATATTTAAATTATTAATGTGAATATAATTTTTGAGGTTATTGGATGATAGGAACAAAAAATGGAGTGAAGTAGATAACAGTTTAAAAAATTAAGTGGACATACAAATATCTGTGAAGCTAATTCTTGGAGGAGAAACGAATAATATAATTTGCATTTATGCTCCATAAGTCAAATTGGATGAGGGTAATCAGCAACTGTGCTAAGAAAATTATGCATGACCTCCCCCAGGGGATGTCCAATAAGAAGACACTCTTTATTGGAGTATATCTAAATGAGCATTCTCCAAGCAATAATGAAGGACATAAGTGTTTTTTTGGAAGTAATGCTGTAGGAGTAAGAACAAGGAAACAAAAACTATTCTGGAGTTCGCCTTGACCTACCACATTTTTTAAACAAACATGTAATAGAAATTAGAAAGAGGACATCTCATTTTATTACTATAAAGAATAGCTGTAGTATCAACAAGAAATTTCAAGGATAGTGATTCAGCTTATAAACAAGGTAATCAAGGACTTTATTTATGTGTCTAGCAATTCCAGCTATTCTACAGAATCTCAACTTTTGCAGTTTTTGCTCTAAAAATAAAAAGCAGGTTACCTAGAAGCTTTTTCAGCTATTTAGGATCATTTAGTATGCAGACTTAGTTATGAATTAAACAGAATAGAAACAGAGGATTCATATAGCTGAGCTCAACTGGTTTGGGATTAAGACTAGTTGTTGTTATTGTTAAGATGATTTAGTAATTATAAATTTTCACTTCTCTATATAAAGGATGTCATCATTATTGCATATTTGGGTTTTAGTTATGAAAAATGGAGGTTGCTTTATATATAGGAAAGCAGGTTCTTTGATAGTATCAACTTCACTGCATTATTTATTGCTGTTGTTAATTATTGGCCACCATAAATTTGTTGCTTGGTAATGGTAACCTTGAATGATTGTGTACACATTTAAAAAGCCTCATTATTGCCACCAAAATCCTCCCATGGTTTTAAATAACAGCCATTTCCCAACACTATCACCTGTTTCATAATGAGATTTTAGCACATCAGTGCATTATTTTTCACTTGTGCATGGGTGTTTCGCCAATCATATGGAAACGGTAGACAAAACATGCGAGATGGTTATCCATTTTCTACATGTTTTAGGTTATTATTCTTGAGTTCATATCTTGTATAGTTATTTTTATTAAATTATAGGTTATTGATTTGAGCAATTTTCCTATAAATTCCACGGCAGCAGCAGTAGTTAATTCTGTGATACAGTTTCTATTTGTTTCCGTTATTTAAAACCCTGATCCCCCTTCCTAGCCAACCTCATATTCCCACTTAGCCCCTGATGCCCCAATGTCTGCGGCCCCCAACCCCCCACCACAAACTAAAAAAAAAGAAAAAAAAAATCATATCAATTCAAGGATCCACTCCCTGTGAACATGTTCCTTATCATATATTGATTGGTCAATATTTGTTTTCTTTGGTCAAGGCTTAGTCAAGATTGTGGTATTCTTATCTTTCACTATTCTATTTTCCCTGTTAAAATCTCATGTATTTTATTTTCTTTTTCATCAATGTTGTTGGGTTTGTTGGAAACTGTGCTACGTACATGCTAAACTTTGTGATGCAGGAGCATCCAAGCTTAGTTCAGAAGTTTTCTTTTATTTTCCTTCTTTATTTAGAATTCTTAATTAAATTAAAGGATGTTAATTAATTAGGAATAATTTTCAGTTTTCCTTGGATTTAGCTAAATAAGAATACTATTCAGTCTAGGACTCTAAACTAATTAGGAATATTTTTCAGTATAGAATTAGGATTTGTCCTAACTAATATAAATAGGACAGCAGCAATTAGTTTTAGGGATTATTTTTTATCTATGAATTCAGAATTTTAAAAGGTAGGACAGCAGCAATTATTTTAGGGATTATTTTTTATCTATGAATTTCCAGAATTTTTAATTCTACAAGGTTTCTTTGAGACCTGGAAATCATCCTATTCTAGCCCTAATTGTTGACAGTTAATTACCCTAAATTCTTCCCGTGTTACTTTGTTAAGTACCAATTAAGGATGTCAATCCCAAATTGCAGTATCTAGAGCTAGCAAATTTTCTGACTATAATATTTTATATAGATAGAGAATGATTGAAAAACATCAAAAAGTGTTAGTTGAAGTCTTAGAAGAGTTGAAAGGCGGTTGACCATACCTAAAGAAAGTTTGATGGTGGAATGAGGTGCTATGAGCTATTAAGGCCAAATGGAACTGTTATATAACTTTGCCTTAGTGCTAAATAAAGTTGTTTTTGAATAGTATAAGCATAGCTAGTAAAGGAAATCCTCATTGTGCCTCAAGTGCAAGGGCGCCCCTTATGCCTCAAACCTTAAGAGGCGGGTGATATCATCGAGGCTCATACCATTTTGGTAATGCACGCATTGATTAAAACGAAGGTGCATAACTAGGAACAAATTTGCTACTAATATCTTCAATCCTCCTAAATTTTTAGGATGATTATCATATATGTACAAAATAGAACATCATTTTAGTCAACCACTAATTGATTAGGGAAAATCATGTCCCAAATTTTACATTTGCTTAGTCTTCAAGTTAACTTGAGCAAACATGCCCAAAATCTTAGGATGATTATAACTTTTGTATAATATAAAATTTTTTCCTCACAATCAATAGATTAGGGTGAGCCTTGTCCTAGACCCTCTACCAACTTTTAGGATGGTTGCTATATATATTCAATAAACAAATAACTTCCATGGCCAATCAAGAAACATAAAAAACACATTCTCCAATTCCAAATTGTTTCTTAATTCAATCTTTCTACTCTAATTTCATAAACTACTCCAATTCAGTGGAATATAGGATTATGAGTTAAAAATCTTACTTATGTATTATTCATGCTAGAATTTTAATAGTTTGAAGTTATTTCTAAAGATTAGGTGTCTTCTTATATAGTAATCTTCAAGTCACCCAGGATCAAGCATCTGCCTCGTCCTTGCATCTCGGCTTCGGGACCCTTTGCTTTGATGTGCCTTCCACCTTTAATAACTACACGCATAAGCTACCACCTCAAAAGAAAGGTTGGGAAATAAGTAGTGACGATAGAACCAAACTTTCTAAAGAAAATTTATGAAAAAATTGGGATGTGAGAAAGGGAGAAAAATATTTGCAAAATAATATGGAAAAAGGGAAGCAATATTGAGATTAAGATCAAACTAGGTGTAAAAAAAATGGATCATAAAATTGTTCTTATCACGGGGATGAAAATTTAGGAAAGATAAAGTAATTTGATGTTCTCTTTTCCAGAAGGCACAAATAACATCTCATAGGACTTTATTTTGGTGGAAGAAAAACATGTAAATTTTGCAACTAGCTTATGACATCAAAGGTTGAAGAAGCTTTACAAAAGATGAAGATATAAAACCATGTGGCATTGATGGAATTCTCTGGGTGTAGTTACAAAAAAAGACCAATGATATTAAGATCAAACTAGGTGTAAAAAAAACGATCATAAAATTGTTCTTATCACGGGGATGGAAATTTAGGAAAGATGAAGTAATTTGATGTTCTCTTTTCCAAAAGGCACAAATAACATCTCATAGGACTTTATTTTGGTGGAAGAAAAACATGTAAATTTTGCAACTAGCTTATGACATCAAAGGTTGAAGAAGCTTTACAAAAGATGAAGATATAAAACCATGTGGCATTGATGGAATTCTCTGGGTCTAATTACAAAAAAAGACCAATGATATTGGTTGATCTCGTTGTGGCTATCTTTTTTATTTAAGAATTATGGGCGTAGGTTTTAAAATGTTATCATTTGAGGATGAGCAAGTAAAGTCTTTCATTTTGAAGCCTCACCAATTAGTCTATGAAATTTTGCAAATAAGTTGTTCCAAAATAATTCTTATAAAAAAAGACTAGTTTGTGGGTTCTCTGTGCAAGTTAGAGCTAAAACAATTCACCTTTAACTATAAACTCCTCCCAAATTTTTGACGTGGTGAGTAACAATTTTATATTGGCTATATATCAAATTGGATAATTAAAATCTAAAGCTCATTCTGTAAGACAGATAATTGAATGTGAAATTATAAATGCAACATTTCTTCAGAGTTTGATTTGAAAATCTTAAATTACATTTTAAACTTGAGGACCTTAACTTCAATAGAGCCATATTATATCCCTTTTTCGCTGTGTACTTATCCAAATTCTAATTGAAATCAAGAAATTCCTCAAAGAGATGTTGTGGTTTAGTACCTTGGTTTACTAACAAGATTTAAGATTCAAAGAAAATGCTTGAGAAGTGTGTACGGGAACCGCTGCTCCTATTTTTAAAACAAAGGAAATATCCAATGTTCCAGATGTTATTGCAATATGAAACTCATGAGTCCCTTTATGAAAATATGAGTCGAAATGGAGGATAAGTCTATACTAATGATTTATAAAAGCTTATCTTGTTTTATGTTAGGATGATCAACCATGGAGACAGTTTGCCTTATGGGGAGATTAAAGTAGCATGTAGAGAAATGAAAAGACATTTATTCGTACTGTACTGATTTGGAGAGTGCTATGATAAAGTTACAAGCTATATTTTGTAATGGATGTTTGAAGGGAAGAGAGTATCTATTGAGAAAACCTAAATATATTGCAGGATATATGTAAAGAGCGCTAGATTCACAGGAAAGGAAGGTGGTTGAAATGGATAAGTGTAATACAAAGTATTGCAGAGACAAGGATGCTAAGATCTATGTGTGGAAATACAAGTGATTCCCAGAAAAAAAGTGATTATATTTATAAGCATGGTGAAGTGGCATCCATTGAGGAATAGTTGAGAGGTAGGTGTTTTTAGATGATTTGATAATCTTATCATCAGATCTGGTGGAAGATTAAATTGGTGAAGCAACTTTGAATACCCGTTGAATGTAGAAATTCTGAAATCCCTGTCGAAATATGTACTAGGAGGGTAATATTATGCATCCCTTTGTTTGAACTGCTTTGATTCCACATTTAGATAACTTTGCCATAAAAGCGTATTGCATTAATTAACCTATCATTGTGGGTTTTTGTTCTGTTCTTTTAGATTAATTTTAATTTCCAGAACTAAATTTATCCTGATTATCTTATGGGTTCTTGCGAGTGACTATGTTGTCAGTATTTTTTTTTATTGGGATATATATTTTGATGGTCTTTATCAGATGAGAGCTTTACATTCATTCAGCCCGTGCTCTTTAGAATCTGTGTTTCTTCCTCAAGTAAGTGGCCAGTATTACTTTACCTTAGTTCTTACTTTATATGTATGGAACGTTACCCATGCTTCAATCTGCTGCTGTTACTGCTTGTGTGATTCTATCTTGCCTTTGGTTCTGAGGTAAATTCATTTTCCATTTTCCTTTTGCCTGTGCAAAAAGTTATTCTCATGTTATCTTTATCTCCATGAAGTGTGGGTATGCTGTTCTTGTTTTGTTTTAATTTTACATTCTTACTAGATTTTGGATGGGAATTCATCAATTGATGGTTACAGTTGTAAATTTCTATCAAAACTGCATCAGTGTAGCAAACCATCCAAAAATGCACCCTCGAATGTCCCTCCAAATAGCTTTAGTCTGTCATTAGTTTCTTTTATTGCCAGCTCATGGGACTTCAAATTTTTTGTGAGTTCCTTTTGTAATTGGATGAGTGAGAAGAAAAAACAATGTATAAATGAGAGATTACATACTTGAAATTATGCATTCTGACAGCAACAGTTACCATTTTCTCTTGCAGTAATAATGTATGTGCTTCTTCCTATGCCATTGCTTTTCTTTGCTGGCTCCGATAGTAGTTCTCTTATCTCAGAATCTGACAACAGGTTAGACTCTCAACTTTAAGTGATACCGGACTAAGGTTTGACTATTTCCTTTCATCGAGATGCATATAAGAAAAAGAAAAAAACAAAAATCATCTATTTTCAGTTTAAGAATGAGAATATAATAACAATTGTTCTTGCTTTCTTATGATTGATGAAACAGTTGGGTCAATGCAACCAAGTTTTTGACAGGGGCCTCAGTAGTTGGAAGCATAGCTATACCAGTAATCTTGAAGCATGCTGGTGTAATTGGCTGGGGAGCACTAGCAATGGAGCTTTCTTCATTTTTTGTCTTTGTGATAGCCATTATGTGCTACATAGGCATGAATGATGACGGTGGTGGTTACAGTATTCTGTAAAACATGACCGGTTGAACGCTAAATAAATGTTGATTTTTTCGTGCCATTACATGATTTCTTGTTGGTGATGTATCTTATAGAGTAAGACAAACTTGATATTTTTCCGAGTTGAGTGACATTTTTGGTGCATGATGATTGTCTTTGGGTTATAGGTGTTCGAAAATGATTTGTCTTGTACAGAAACTGAACATGAGAAGCCATTCTGTAATCTCTGTACCAAATTTTTTGTGATTTGATTAGTTGAATTGTTGGGTTTTGTTTTGTTCAGAGTGTAACAAATATAAAATTTAAGGTTGATTTGGTCATATGCTCATTCTGCAATTGTTATTTATTATTTTTGAATTTATTTTTGTTCATTTGAAGAGAAGTTCAAGAGAGAAGTGAAGGATTTGAAATTTTGATTAAAAGCATGTAGTTATTAACAAAAAGTGTCATGTGATTTTAGCAACTTTCCGTTAAGTTTTTTCAGTTTTTTTTTTTTTTTGGGTAACATTTTGGTATCTCTGTTTTTTTTTCTTAGGATTTTTGTTCCAAAATTAAACTTTAATTCAATATTTTCCACTTTGCAATGAGATTCCATAGAAAAAATGTACTCCCTGTGTCTTATATATATAGGCTTAGTTTGATTTTCGCATGGATTAAAAAAAAAAATTAATATAGTTGAATTATATTTTTTGTTTCATTTTTTTTTTTTCAAAATATTCTTTTGTAATATTAAATGATAGATATCAATTGAAAATAGATGTACATGAAATAGGGGAATATCAAAAAAATTAGATAATAAATTATTTTTTAAAAAATAAATTAAGATCAAAGAAATTAGATTATAAATAATTTTTTTAAAAAGAAAATAAGACTACATTTTGAGATAAAAAAAGAAAGTGAGCCTTTATATACGGGACGAAAGAAGTGTAATATATTTTTAATTCAAATGTGATTAATAACAGTAAAAAAGATTCACTCTTCTATTTCTCTCTCTAGGTTACATCAATACTTTCAAAATAGCTTCAACATTTATTGGCTTACTTAATAATTACTAGTATTCAAGGATGTGCGATATATGTTTTTACTCGTTAAACATATCCGTTAAAATGATTATTTATAATTTATTTTTTTATATATTTTTTATTAATTTAAAATTTAATATTTTTAGTTATAATTATTACACGTATAAGGTGCAAATCACTATCATACATATTTAATATTTGATGAAAATTTTTTAATATTTTTTTACAATAGATTTTTGACAAAATGGAATAGTTATAAAGTTGAAAATAAATAACCATTTGATTTAAGATATTGCCATATGTAAAAATAAATACATATATAAATTATTGGTAATCAAATTCAATTTTTTTTTTTTTAATATTTTTTTACTATTAGATCTTGACAACATATGGCAAATAAGTTATAAAGTTGAACATAAATAAACCATTTGATTTACCGACTACTCTTGCCATATGCTTAAACAACTACCAATACATATATAACCCATTATTCGGCTAATCAAACCTTCAATTTTTTTTTTTTTCCCGTTCGATAGTCACTGTGCCAACAAACCAAAAATTAAAAATTAACCAATTCAATACCCCTCTAACGCCATCTAATAATAATAAAGTGAGCAAGTTTTCTTACCCCTCACTACGCTAATCAACAAAACGAAATTCTTCGATAGCTAGAGAAGCTCTCAATGAATTATTGATTAATTAAAAGGCAATTCCACTTGATAATAGCCAACAGAAATATCATTTCATTTCGACCAGATCTAAATCTCTTCACACTTGGCGTTACTTAATTTAAAATATTCTATCCTTTATTATCATTAATAATCCACGAACTGTAATATTAAAATTAAAAGTATTAGTACAATTTTTTACCCTACAAATAATAAAGCAACAATTTAACAAGACAAAGAAGCGTCTGAATGTTTTACAAAAAAAGTTATTTGATAGATTAAATTTTCAATTGGGTTATAATTTAAATATTTATCCTTTATTATCATAATAATAGATGTAATATTAAAATTAAAGTATAGTAAATTTTTAAACTAAAAATAAGCAACAATTTAAAAGAAAAGAAGCGTTGAATGTTAAAAAAATTACAATCATGATTTAAATAATTTTTTAAAAAAATAAACAAATTTATACTAACATGATTAGTTTATCCCATTTTGCATTACTTTAAGTATTATTTAATATTAACCAACATTTTGCATGTATTAATTGTCAAAGAAAATACAAATTTCAATTAACTAATGCAAACTATATTCACAAAAGTCAATGATATTTATTCCCTACTTTTTTTTTGAACTAATGAATTTATTTATTCAAAAATAAATTATCTTTATTTTTTCAACAAATAAAATTAAAATTCTTAAAATTTTATACTCTTACCATATATATATCTTATATCTTATATAATATAATTTATTATTTTATCTAATAGAATTTATATTTAAATCGGAATTAAAATCCTTAATAATTAAATTAGCTTTATTTTTCAACCAATAAAAGTAAAATATTTAATAATTTCCTATTTAGAATTAGTATAGCCACTAGAACATACTTAATAATATCAATGAAAATTATTCTATTAATTTATAAATAGAGAAAGTTAAAATTATACTTACCACATGAAGAAATTATGATTGTAAACTCAAAAATTTTAAATTAGCAAATTTTGATATAATAATTCTTGATGGTCAAAAGCAACAAATTCGTGATAGTCAAGAGTAACAAATTCTTGATAGTCAAAACTCAAAAGTAATTAAAACCAAACTTATATATAGTGGTATGATAAGACAAAATCCTAATTAAAATAGTATTAAAGGATAAATTTCTAATTAGAATGAGATTAAACTTATAATATTAATAAAAAAGAGCTACCAATAAGATATTAAATCCTAGTATTTTTATATGTATCGCAATTCCAAAAGTTTGATAATTAGAATAGGACTAAATTATTTTTAATGATATTTTTAATTAATCAACTAATAAAATACCAATAAAATTAATAGTTTTCTAATTAGAATAAGACTAAATTATTCTTCAATCAACCAATAAAATTAAAAGTCTACAGGGAAAATTTATGAACCTAATGTTCTCCCTCATTTGCACTTATATATATATATATATTTTGAAATTTCTATACATGCAAAAAAATTATGATTTATTATATTATAATTTAAATATGAAATTTCCATCGAAATACTTGAAACTAAAAAAATAAAAAATAAAAGATATTGTCTTGACAAATATTAATCTTACAATTCAAATAAAATTAAAATTTTTATTAATAAAATATAAAATAAAAGGGAGGAAGAAAAGAGAAAAAAAGTACAAACATACCAAAGGATGTGGCTGAGAAGAGATATGCAGTAAAAATAGCTTCTGAATTTTGGTTACAACTTTCGCAACGTATAAAAAATTCCGTTGCTAACTCGTTTGTAAACTCTCAGCAGCGGACGATAAATCTGTGTTCTAACTTTAGAAATGGACAAAACTTCCGTATCTAACTCATTTTTAAAACTCTTTGTCAACTCTTAGGAACGGAAAAATAATGAAACAAGATTCGTTAATTTCGTTAATTAATAAAAAAATAATATGGATTTAAGGAAAATAATATATCAATCTAATTAAAATTTCAATATAATTTTAAGTCATAAATAAAAATTTAAAAATTTTCTAATTAGAGGGTCATCTCTTTAAGATATCTAATTTATAATGTTAATTTTAGGAGGAAATCTTAGTAAGCTTGTAATTATTTACGATTAGTAAACAAATCACCAGTTAAATCTATAAATTCAAAATTATAAGAACTATAAATAAAAACTATTACATATTTGTAAATAGGAGAGAGAGAGTTAAAGTCTAATACTTATTGCAAGGAAGAAGGACATATTGCAAAACTCAAATTAATTCCAAATTAGCAAAAGCTAGATTAACAATCTTAAAAGTCAAAAAAGCCAATAAATTCTTGGATAGCCAAAAGCAATTAAAATATAAATATTATATATATAGTAGGTATGATAGTGATGATTGCAAACTCAATAATTCCAAATTAGCAAAAGCGTGATGTAACAATTCTTAAAAGTCAAAAGCAATAAATTCTTGATAGCCAAAAGCAATTAAAATTAAATATATATATATAGTAGTATGATAGGACAGATTCGTAATTAGAATGAGATTAAATTTATAATATTAATATAATAAAAATAATGAATTGATATCATAATTAGAATATAATTAGTAATGTGTCAATTCATAAACTTAGTAGAGCGTTTTAGAAACCCAATGTTCCCCTTATTTGTACTTTTTACATATATCATCGATTGAGGGTCATATAGCTTATAAGTAGTCAAATTATGAATTCATCTTAATAATATGTGAGTTTGGCAAAATTAATTAATTAATTATGCATTTTGGTGGATCTATCATTGAATTTAACTAACTTTAAGATCTGTAAAAAATTTTAAATATGAGTTTCAAAATAAAGGATCAATTTTTTTTTTTACAAAATTCTATAATCTTAGTACAAAAGAGTCGTTTTGAAAGTATAAAATCTTTAAAAGTGCATGTCTAATTCATCAAGACCTAAAATAAATAACATTTTTGTTATCAAAATTAATATTTTTATACTCCCTCCGTCCCAAAAAGATAGTCTATTTTCTATTTTCACACATATTAAGAAAATAGCAATTATTATAGCTAAAGACAATTTTATTCATATAACTTTTCTATTATGTCCATTTTAAATAACACATGAGTAATCATTATATTAGAATAATAAGTAAAAATTGACGAGAGTTATTAAAAATAGATAAAATTTAATAAGAGTATAATAGATAATTTAAGGATAAACTATAATGTAAAAAAGGAAAGTGGACTATATTTTGGGAGAAACTAAAAAGGAAAGATGAACTATTTTTTTGTGACGGAGGGAGTATTAAATTGTCTTACACTATTTATTAATATTATCTTGAGGCCATTAATTTTGATTTTTTTTTGTTCCACTTCGATTATTGAAACATTTCGTAATTTTATTTTCAAAAATTTTGAATTGTTATTAAATAAAAAATATGGATTTTTGACTGTATGGACTGCAAATACCGAGCAATTTCAATCTGAGTCTAAGTTTGTAGAGTTGGGCTCAAGCCCAAAACATATTATCGGAACTCCTAGTCGAGAACATTATAAACTTCTTAAGAATTAATATTAGACGTTAAATATTAAATGAGTTAAAATAATAATAATTAAAATTATATCCACTACTTAACTTGATGATCCTAAACTCTAATTCTATTATA